TAAAACACAAGGAGAGCAGCGATGGGAATTTAACCGGGGACCAAGAGATTTCCGTGGTTCAGCGCACACACAAAGTGGCTACCACCAGCTGCTAAACTGCTCATGATTATGATGGTGATAATGGCGATATCAATTGTAATGAATAACGAAAACGATGCAGAAGATGATTATCTCGACAACGACGATGATGATAATGACAATGATGATTAATTTTCAATTTTTTTTTCAATTTTATTCAAAAAATACCTCCAAACAAGAAGCAACATACATATAAACGCGTTCAAGCATCGGAAATCAAACATTGACTTAAATTATAAAAAATCAAATAAATAAAACACAGCACAAGGTATACTTAACTTGCATAAATATATATACAAAACAGAACAGTAAAACGAAAAACGACAAAAACTGATTATGATAGTGACGATGATGTAATGACGTTGTCAATGGTAACGACAACGATGCTGATATGACTAGGATTATTTCACTCTCTGATGACGGTCCGTTAACAACGGATTAAAAAGTTACAAACAGTACGTATGCCTATATTTTTTGGTTTACTTATAAGAATGTTTCAATGTTTTAGGATTATAATGGTTATGATGATCACAGTGATGTCAAAGTCAAAAATGCCGTTGCTTAACTAGTCTGAAACGTTAATGTAGAATCGCATAGAATAAAGATTAAAACTTATCAGACCTTCCAAACTCCAGTAATAGCGTGGTAACAAAGAATATCATAATACCACCAACACCACCGATAATACGATAATATCGACCCCATCCCCACAAACCTTTACTACGAAAATTCTTGGAAAAGCACATCAATGGCTATGAACGAATGAGATAAAATATTTTCTGAATTACATAGGTGGAGACAATTGGAGATGCTTACATGATAGTGTCCGGGGCACCGACACCGACGGACGACCACGCAATGATGGTGTCTGAAATGGCTCTGTCCTTGATGAATGCTATGAGTGACATGAAAGACCCCGGCACAGGTGAAAGCTTGAAAATACGTGCAGGTAATAAATTGATTTAGCACATTAAAATAAATGTAAGATCTACTTTTTTAAATATTATTATTATTGTTGTTGCTTGTTTTTGTTGTTATTTTTGTTACCGTGTTGCTGATGCTGATGTTATTGTTGTTACATGCAACATACCATATATGCATAGCCTCTTACGTTATAGGCATACGATGCGATTTTATAACTCTAGTTTTAGAAGTTGGAAGAAATAATGGATATGAACATACAAGCACATGCATGTCTTTTTTAAAATATGAATTGAAAGAAATAAGCAAAGTATAAAAATTGATGTTGAATGTATCAAAGACGGGAATCGTTGTCCTACGACGGGCGGACGATCGAAAAATCAGAACAAAATCAGTTTAGGAAACCTGAAACTGGCGCAAGAAAATTTACACCGACAGTATAATTACGATAATGGCTTATAAAAACATTAGATCCATTATATATCATGTCTACCAGAGAACCAGACTTGCATCTGGGAAATAATCCCGATATTCAGCTAAGATAATCATTTATTTATAGGCATTCACTCAGGAGGAGTAGTCGCAGGAGTAGTTGGCGTCAAGATGCCCCGGTACTGTTTGTTCGGTGACACTGTCAACACCGCCTCAAGGATGGAGGCTACCAGTGAAGCGCAGTGCATACATATCAGTGAAGCTACTAGGGACATCCTAAGTAAAAGTCCGTATATAATCGAAGAAAGAGGCCAAATCGAAGTTAAGGTACGATTCTGTCGTAGAGGGGATAGTTTCTAGAGGGTACCGATGTTAGATAGTAGTAGTAATGTCTCCTTTGTTTGATATTCATATAATAGTATAAAGAGTCACACGAATTTTATACCTCCTTGGGTATACAGTGCATCCTAAATGGTCATCGGGTGGACTAAAAGCAGCGAGGCCACGCCCTGTCATGGATCAAAGCCTATTAAAAGATTTGGAAGATAATACTGTATATGCTATAAAATTAACCCATTGTCGTCTTCATTGCCCGGCCCGCCACACCGGCGCCACCACCACCACCACCACCACCACCACCACCACCAGAACACCACCATCACCACCACCACCATTATCATCATCAACATCATAATCACCTTCATCATGATGTACTCGTTCTGCAAGTATACTAATTTTTTATCGTAACGCAGTAAGTTTGCTTCAAAATATGAACGGCATTGATGAAGACTATGATGTATATATAAGCTTAGTGCTACCCTGACACTTGCACAATTTTCATTCCCGCACTGGCGCGCACTTCGGCGTGCCAATGATTAAAGTCTTCGGGAACGAGCGTGAGGGTGCGGGAGTGCGTGCCATGTTGTAGAGAGAATTTTAAAATGTTAAAACATTCGGCACGCATCAATGTTCGTGCCGGCCATGCGTGAACCATGCGTGAACACTGCACGAACTCGGTGCGAACACTGCCGACGGTGCGTGTCAATGAAGAATGCTTTTCCTCTTGCTGCCATTTCTCTGCTCTTCAAGAAGTAATAGTCCTGCAGTTGTCAGATACAGACACCTTCTCTGCTCTGCAATAACACTATCTCTGGGATTCAGCATGCTGTAGTGTCCACAGAGAGTCGAAGAAAAACCTACGCTAAATATATAGCGCGTCGCCAAGCGGAACAAAGTGTGACCAAAAATTGCCACGACGACTTCATCCATGCGCGAAGTCGTCGGGGCAGTGCATGTCGATGCGGAAAGACAGCGAACTATGCGTGTCGTGCGGCACGTTAGACGTGAACAATGGGCGAACAATACTTAAGCCACCCTGACACTTGCACAATGTTCGTTCCCGCACTGGCGCGCACTTCGGCGTGCCAATGATTAAAGTCTTCGGGAACAAGCGTGAGGAGTACGTGAAGGGTGCGGGGGTGCGTGCTATATCGTAGAGAGAATTTTAAAATGTTCAAAAACGTGGCACGCATCAATGTTCGTGCTATATGCGTGAAGCATGCGTGAACACTGCGCGAACTCGGCGCAAACACTGCCGACAGTGCATGTCAATGCGTGTCAATGAAGATTGCTCTTCCTCTTGCTGCCTTTTCTCCTGCTCTTTCAGAAGTAATAGTCCTGCAGTTATCAGACATAATACACCTTCTCTGCTCTGCAATAAGTGTTTCTGGAATTCAGCATGTCGTATCGTCCACATCGAGTCCATACGCTATTATATTAGCGTGCTGCCAAGGTGGGATAAAGCTTGACCAAAGGCGCCACGAAGACTTCACCCCTGTGTGAAGTCGTCAGGCCAATGCGTGTTCATGCGGGAAGACAGTGGGAACTGCGTGTCGTGCGTGACAATGTGCGACAATGCGGTACGTTAGACGTGAACAATGCGCAAACAATACTTAACTTAAGTATAAACAAGTAATGCCATTACGTGTCAATGCGGCCCTTTTTTGGCCGCGCATGCGTAGACAGTGTGTAACGTATGTGTGTACAGTGCGCGAACAGGCCGCAAACATGGCTCCACCCCCACCGAAATGGCAGGCCTTGCCAAGATGCTTTGCGCGCAATGCGGGGACAAAAGTCGTGCAAGTGTCAGGGTGGCATTAACCTAAACAAGTAGTGCCATATTACATAGACAGTGCGTAAAGCCTTGTCTACACTATCAAATTTGATGTGACGAAAAAAATGTGATGTGCCCATATATAGGTACGATGACGTCATATTACATGTTATCAAATTGTATACAAAAAATGAATGTGTTCAACTCTTATGTTCCATCACATTTTATGTGATGCTTTTTTGATGAAATTTGATAGTGTAGACAAAGATTAAAGCAACTCTCATATTATCGCGACCTAGCACTGCGACCGTACCGACCTGCGGTCGTATCCGACTGCAAGTAGGACCTGCCTCCTTGTCACTTATTTGTGGACAGTAATAATTATGGCCGCTTTAGCCAAATGTTTACGACACGTGTGAGAGCGACTACGATTAGACTGACGACCAGTACCGACCACAATAAATTTTTCAACATGTTGAAAACTCTGCGACCATGCACGACCTCTGCCTTGTCACGAGCAAGTTGCTCTTAGCTGCTGTCACACTATCACGACCTGGACACGACGGTGTCGGCCGTGTACCGATCGCAGTGTAGGCCTAGGTTGTGATAGTGTGAGAGTAGCTTACGCCTTGCCACGCCGCTTTGCGCGGCAATGCTGGGACAAAGTCGTGCAAATGTCAGAGTGGCAACTTTACTTTAAATATACAAAACATTTTTTTTTCCAATTAGGGAAAAGGATTTATGAACACATATTGGTTGAAAGGTCGTACATATGCTTCTCTGCCATTCAGTGTTTTCAAAATCATCATGAGAGCAACTCATCGTAGGTTTAGCTGTAAGTTAAACACTGTTTTTCAACATTGTTCATCTTGTGTTGTTGAGTTATAATTCAACATTTTGGAATAATGATTGTGTCACGACATTGTTAGCAGTAACAATGACAACAACAATGATAATAATAAGTAAATAATAGATGGTAATTATGATGATGATGGTGTGGAGAACAGTCGGTTAGGTTATAATGATGTAGGTGATTATAATATGAATATGGTCCATATACATTATATTATGTAAAAAAAAAAAATACTAGTTTCTTGTTACCTCCCGCATCCATTTTCGCTGCCTCACCATTTAAAAATATATATATATATGTACGAAAATCTGGCTAACTCATATCAGTAAAATTCCTCTCTCTATCGTGGATAGGCAGAGGTTCCCAATGAGAATTTCAGTTGAACTATTACCAGTAGTATTATGGATTAAAACTCAATGTACTATGATACGATTCATGTCTAGTACATCTTTTGCTTTTAATGTGCAGTGGCGGCACTACAGGAGGACACAGGGATAGGGAAAAATTTCCATTAGAAAATTTGTCGCCCCCCACCCCCAGAAGAGTAAAAAAAAAAACAAAATTCGTCGGGGAGAAAAAATAATTACCTCTATATGCATTTTGTACACAGGCATATTAGTAGACTCTAAAATCGATTAAATACGGTAAGCCTTTAAAACCCTTATTTTTTTAAATTTTTTTAAAATTTGTTTTTGTTTTTTGTTTTTTCGGGGGCTTAGCCCCCTGGATCACTTTCAAGACATTTTAAGAGACACTCGAACACGCCCACTTTGCTCTCGTCAGGGAAATTCGTACAGCCACATTTCTCCTCCTAGTAGGATTGTTAATATAATAATTTAAGCATTTTAAACGCTGTCTCTTATACACATCTAGATGTGTATAAGAGACAGATCATGTCCTTTATCTGAATTTATGTTCCTATATATTTGAGCGCTATACACACACACACACATATATATATATATATTATTATATTATATATATAATTTGAAAGTGTTGTACATTATGTCCTTTTTCTGAATTTATGTTCCTATATATTTGAGCACTGTATTATTATAATATTTGATTTATACAATATTTGTGTTCCAAGTGCTATTACTGTATAATACAATATAGATTCTTGTTTCAACGAACATTACAAAGTTCTCTTTTTGAGTTGAGCAACCAGCTGTGTGTGTACCATATTGATTAACGTCTGTGAAGCGCGCGTCTGTAAAGCTTCCTTGAAACCTATCCTCGAGCATGAAGAAAACAATAGAAACGCTCGCCCGTCTTGCGTAAATTCTGTATTATTATTAAGGCACAGGGCGAAGGTAGGCACTATGTATGGTGCAACGCTCTAGTTCCGTTTAGTTAACGATGTAGATGTAAGTGTAACTGTTTGGCTTACAGTAAGCCATCAAACTAACGTAATATAACCACATTTAAATTCCATCTAATTTAACGAAAACAATAAGATACGGTACTTAATTAGGCCCCTTATCAAAATTAAGTCCTCTGAAGGTTAACTACAGAATTTATAGTACATTGTAATTAAAGTATTACTTTGTAAAAACTGTAGTGAAAACCTTTTCGCTTAACATTACAAATTAGTTATTTGTGAAACAAAAGCTAGGTAATATGTTATATTAAACAGTGGCGGATAAAACAGAAAATTATATTCAAATTGAAATCTCAGAGTGCCATTTCTGGCCATCTAAAAGTGCCACAATTATATATTTTTTTCCTCAGCCCCAACCATGATGGGGCTGAGGCAGGTGGACACTCCATGCAAGTTCCTCCAATTCACCGAAGTTCCTCAAATATCCGTAGAATTTCCAGGGGTCTTCTTCCCCTGAACCCCCACTGCCCCCCCCCCAGCCTAGATGCTCGCTTCGCTCGCATACTGGATTTCATAACCTTATGAAATACCCCCCACCCACCACACCTACTTTCCGCCGCCGTCATCATGACCGGTATTTAGGCATGTCACATGCTTTGACATTTTGCACAGGGTTTTAAACAAGATTATTTGATCATTCATTGAAACTTGAAGCCTGGTTCTCACGAGCGTCCTTGTATCCGGATCAGGAGCTAACCGTTAGCGCTAACCGTTAGCACCTGCGTAAGAACGCCCCGATCGGTTAGCGATAACCGTTAGCAGTATCCGGATAACGCTAACGGTTAGCAAGCGCTATCGGTTAGCAAGTTGAGCGCCTTTTTATCATCAACCAATCACACGTACGCGTTTACAATTTCCAGTTTCTTACTGGCCAGTGATTCGATCATCATATTTTTGGTATCTGGATCGGGATTTTCTCATATGGACGCACGGCAGCTAACGGTTAGCAGGATCCGGATCCTGCTAACCGTTAGCAGCCGTGTGAGAACATAGCCTGAATCATTGAGCATATTGATTTACAGTAATTAAATTTATGTTGATTCCTGTATCATAAATATATTTTATTTGCATTGATAATGATTATTTCACATTGTTTATTCATTTTTTCCAGTGCATCAGCCAGTTGAAGAGTCGTGAAGCGTCGTGTCTTCGGCAAGACTTAAGGGTCGGCGTGTCCAACCTTCGCCAACCACCACAGTTTCTTTTAGTGGTGCTATATTACTTCTTTTTAAGATTATTTTAAAAAACATTTACATATTTTAGGCTATTTGTAAAGTTTCAAATTTTATACATTGTGTTACCTTCTCAATTTTTTTGAAAAACTATCTTTTGTGTTATCTTAACTGTTACAGATCGAACAAATACTTTGTAAATTTCTGCTGTGTGTAATTATGTTATTTTTGCATTATATTACAATGTCGTGTAATTTCAAGAATAAATGCAGTGCTGAATGAAAATTGCGCTCAGGTCTGCATTCATCTGCCATACAGTTCTACAGTCAGGGGTGCATAAGACGTACGGAAATACTCACCCCTTAAGTATAATTAAAATTATGATTATCTTTTTAATCGATAATGTCAGACAAATACAGTAGATGTTGATATAGATCTAGGCCATAATAAAAATAAGAAATAGAACTGCTAGTTAGTGATAACAACCGATACCGTAAGCCGATGACTCACTGCCTCGTGATGCTTTTAGTGATGGGCGGTAGCAGCTTGGTGGCAGTCTGAACGAATCGTCATTTAAAGCGATCCGTTGAGCGCGCATCGTTGCGTTGCGTTTCACTATAGAATCGCGTCGGTCGGCTTTCTTCCACCAGTAATTCGGTTAAACAGCAATTTCTTGTCAAGATAAAATTTCCTTTGTAATATGTTTCCTTAAGCTTTGTTTACACTATCAAATTTCATGTGACAAAAAAAAAAGTGATTTGCCCATATATGGGTACGATGACGTCATATCACATATCAACAAATTGTATCAAAATTAGTTGAACGTGTTCAACTCTATGTTCTATCAATTGCTTTTTTCTATGAAATTTGATAGTGTAGATAAAGCTTTGGGCTTAGTCAATTTTCTGTAGTATTGGTCTAGCATCCAATACGTTGTACGTGTTATACCTATACTATTTTTATTGGTTTGTGCCATTGTTTTGTGCCACTTTATATAGTATTTTGATATTTATATTGTTTCGTATTCAATTTACAATAGTAGTATGGTTTTCATTAACTCGGTGAGTCGTCTATATCCTAAGGAAAGTGAGTACACAAAAGACTTATGAAAGATGTTGGATATAGCTGTACTTCTCGAAATGTTCAAAATACTCCTTTTCCCTCTTGTCTATATGAGTTGCACACGACTGTAATGCTCCTTCTAGCTATCATCAGAGGTCATTAAAGGCTGAATTTACCAGCTTCTTAACTTTGCCGCACCTCAGAGGATATATGTCAGTGTTTATCACTCTAGGCCTACAGTTCACATCCATTATGCCATTTTCTATGCAACTAACTGTTTCTATGACAGGTCTACCTCTGCGAACACATCTTTTCTTTACACCCCTTTGCTTTGCACTTATCTGAATTTACCACTTGCCTGGAATTTATTAATATTCATGTCACTTTATACTACCCTGAATTCAGGGAATGAATATCCATTATAAAATCCGCTCCTTGACAAAAGTAAGTCGTTTTTATTTATTATAAATTTGTTTTATATCAAGATATAATTATTAACCAATATTCCAAACAAAAGTATGGCTCCTAGAAGGAGGTTCAACTAAATTAATCACTTTAGCAAAATGTGAACTTCATAATTCTTTTTGGATAGATGTTCTCAAAGCATGGTGTACTTTCATTAAGCATATTCAATTCAATTTCAATTTATTGTCATTTGCAACGCTCACATTACATAACATAGAAATTACTGTGGCTCTTTTTCACATACAACCAAGTACAATGTAACAGACGAAGTAGCATTGAAGAGATAAATATCAGAGTAACAGTGTTATTCAATTGTATTGAGGGCCCGGATAGCTGATGGAAAGAAACTCTTTTGGTACCTACTTGTACGAGCATAAATCGAACGATATCTTCTACCACTGGGAAGCAATTCAAAGAGAGAGTTACCAGGGTGTGTTGGATCCTCAATTATACATTTGATTTTTTTAACATCCTAGCATTAAATATGTCCTCAATATCGTCCTCGTTGTGACCGATAATATGAGAGGCATATTTAATGATACGTCTGAGGTCATTTCGGTCAGCCTCGGTAGAACCGCAATACCAAACAACAATAGAATATAAAAGAACGCTTTGAACAACGGACTTCCAATCGACTTGTAACCATGCATTATGGATGAATGATAATATTAAGATAGGTGGGAAGAGTATCTATTATAAACACTAGAGTGACAAAGGTATCAACTTGTTTAACGATCTAATAACTGAAAAGAGATTCCTTTCCTTTAAACAATTTAGCAAACAATTCAATATTAAAACCAACTTCCTTGAGTATGAGGGGTTAATAAGAGTGGTTAAAAGACACCTTTTATCAAAGCAATTAGTTCTAAATTTTCAATTTAATAACCCAATATTACCCTTTAATTTTTTTTTATTACCTCAAGCAAAAAATATTCAATTTCAAGATTAGTATATAATACAATAATTAATGTCCGTAATAAACAACCAAAAGCTAAGCTTAAATGAGAAAAGGCACTCGATACCACATATACGGATAAAGAGTGGGAAATCATTAATAATATGTCCTTTGTATTCACCTTGTCTACAAAATTAATTTGGTTTCAGTACAAAATCGTCCAAAGAATATTAGGAAACAATTTATTTTTGTTCAGAATTGGGAAAGTTGTTTCATCATTATGTGCCTTTTGCAGACAAAAACCAGAAACATTATCACATATTTTTTTTAAGATTGCCTTATTATAAAAGCCTTTTGGTTAGAAGTGAAAAAGTGGTTACAATCTAAGTTTAACATAAATCACTCAATTTTATGGTAATTATTATTTATAATAATTACAATATTTATTTAATCGATTTTTACACGAGTTTGTAAATTTGTATTTTTATCCTGTTGTTTTCATTGTTATTACTTTTTTATCTTAATATATGCTATATTTGTATATCCTCTTTAACATGTTTAAATGTTGTTTGTGAATTTCTAATGCCTTTTTCTTAATTTTTAATTGATTGTAAATTGTGAGCAATTTAGCCTCGGCTACAATTCACTTTTTGTCAATTGCTTTCTCCTTTTTGTGTTGTGTTGAATAAAATATACCATGAATAATAATAATAATAATAAACATAGTTATCAGTTCTGAATTTGCATATTTGGAGTTAGGAATTATTGATTTAAAGCTTTAAACACTAATTTGTTACTATGTAGACATTATATATATTCGACAAAAATGAGATCTGCAATGCCAAGTACTATACGACTAGTAAATGAGATAAAATATCATGTAAAACAACAAGAATATATTTTAAGAAATAAAGGGAAATATGACACTTACCTAAATAAATGGGGTTCTCTACTGGAAAAATATGAACTGGCTGACTGGTAACTCATTACCCAGTCAGCAGCATGCTGACTGGGTTCTGTTTCCGAGCAGTTTCTTCTTTACCCAGTCAGCAGCAGCTGACTGGGTTCTGTTTCTTAGCAGTTTCTTCTTTCTTTCTGGCAACATTTTAAAAGGCTACTAGTGGCAAACTACTGGACCGATTTAATTAAAACTTGGTCAGTAGGACC